GTTCTGCTTTGGCGGCCCAGGGTTCGCCAGTTCAGATCCCCGGTGCAGACATGGCACTGCTTGGCAAGCCATGCTGTGGGAGGCGTCCCACATATAAAGTAGAGGAAGATGGGCACGGATGTGAGCTCAGGGCCAGTCTTCCTCAGCAAAAAGAGGAGGATTGGCAGCAGATGTTAGCTCAGGGCTAATCTTCCTCAAAAATAAATACACAAATATCTCTAAAAGTTTTTTTACTCATGCAAATACCTGTCTATACAAATGCAACATGAATAAATTTTTAAAAATCTTACATTCACAAAGTTTACGAAGCACCTGCGTGGGCTTTTAGTGATTATGCTGAAGTTCATTTCAATAGAGTTTTCAGAAATTTTTTTAAAGAATTGGTGCCTAAATTAAATGTAATTAAAAACATTCTGTATAGTCAGCCCCAAATCCTTTGCACTTGACTCCTGACTCCACCACAGCTCTTGCTCCCAGAGAATGCTTTTGCCTTCTTTATACTTACCTAGGCCCACCCTGCCCTTTGAGACCCATCAGCAGCCTACTGCCTTCAGAAGCCTGTCTACACTCCACAGCACACTATCCAGGCCTCTGAGTGTCTGCGGTGTATCTGCGCCACTCCTCTGACACTGAGCCTAGGCTACCTCCAGAGCCATCTGACCTTTCACACACAGGCCACTCTGTTAATTTGACTGAGCACTTCTTAGCAGGCACTGCTTGTTTCTAAGTATTCACAGTGCTTAGCACAGTGACCCACACAAAGGCTGTGTGATTTTAGGCAAGTCACTTAACTTCTCTGTGCATCATTTTCCTTATTTGTAATGGAGAATATCAATACATGCCTCATAGCATAGAAGAAAAGATTCTTCGAGATAATGTATGTAAAACTTTTATCCAGTACCTAGCTCACCAAATAGTGGAAGTCATATTAGCAGTATTACAGTCATGCACTGCATAACAATGTTTCCGTCAACAATGGACTGCACATACGATAGTGGTCCTATAAGATTAGTACCATATGGCCTAGGTGTGTAGTAGGCTACACCATCTAGGTTTGTGTAAGCGCACTGTGTGATGTTCGCACAACGACAGAATCATCTAACAATGCATTTCTCAGAACGTGTCCTTGTCGTTAAGCACTGCAAGACTATAGTCATAATAACACTAATGAAAAGTAACATCCAAGTAGGTTTGTGCCTACATTAAACTATATTGACCCTCCACCTGTCGTCTCTCACCCAGTACTGCAAGGTGGGTCCTAGTAGCATGCTCATCTTATAGAACCAGATCCAGAGGCAAGTAACGTGCCCCAAACCCAGCAACAGCAAGTGACAGAGAGGGGACGTGAGCCCAGAGGTCTGTGTCCAGAGCCCTGTTCCTAGTCACTTTATTAATGAAGACTACATAATTACTGGTTTACATCTTTTCCTTTTACAATTATAAACCTATTTTCACTGCAATAGAAACAGCCTCTAGTGTCAACATTGCTTGTTCAAGCCACGTCCGTCACTCTGCCAGGTCTGTAGGCAGAGGCAGGGCCCCGAAGATGTTAGGTTTTCAACCTGGGGGACCTCCTGGAATAAGTCAGTAAGAGCCAGCTGTGACTAGATGTGAAACAAATTCTGAAAAGGGGAAGAAACTTCCCGCTGACAGTCAGACTCGGTAGAGTGAAATGCGCTTCGAAACACACCGTGTGGAACACACTCTCGGGACCTGTCAGCTGCTCCTGGACTGAAACAACCACCTTACACAGAGTGGAGGCCTGAACCAGGACAGCCTGCGTCCGCTGCCCCCAAGCCCCGCCCGCCCTGCTCTCTGCTCCGCCCACGGCGTGCTTGTGTCCAGTTCCCCGGGGGTGGGGTGGGGAGGAGGCCCTGTCCCTGCGAGGCCCTTCGTGGGGATGAGAGCCTTCAGAGGGAGCGAGGCCCCGGGCCCATCCAGGTGCGTCTAGCCGGGGCTCCTGGGTGAGCGCGCGGGGCAGCCAGGCCAGTCTTCTTAGTTACCTTGGTCATAACCTCTGGATTCAGATGTTTCCGAAATATCCGGATTTTCACTTGAAAGCATCCCAAATCCTCAAGTAAAATGAACTCACATCCAAGAACCATTTGGTCACTGGGCTGAGCGAGCAGCCGCCTCCGTCCCAAAGCCTATTCAGAGCGGGAAGGGGCCTTCTGTGTCCTTACTGATGGATTTGCTGCTGCTCACGTGGGATCCTGAACTTAGAAAACAGAGCGTCTTTAATAATAAGCATTTTTGAGTTCACGGAAGTCCTGCTGAAAATCCGACTACTACTCTTATTTCCTGATCTTTCTGGACTGTAAGCCACAGGGCCATGAAGTTAGTGTAAGGGGGGGATGTGATGTCAACCAACCTGCATCCTAGGAACCATGTTCAGTAGGAATCACGTAAGTGTTTTTGTCCTGACTTGGGCTCGCCCAGCCCTGCCTCTGGGACACCACAGAACTAGCCTGAAGGTCAGACACTCAATCAACCTCACTGAGGACTCCTCATCTGGGCATCAGAGAACGGAGGTGGAAGTACGTACAGTGACAGAGCAGGGAGAAGAGTGTGGCGGTACATATGTAAGCGTGCCTGTGTACACATGTATGCATGCGCGCATACAAATCACTTACTGGAGATGGTGAGTGTGGATACAGAAGGCATAGCTGGATGACTGATCTGACTGTGGAATATTCTGGAAAGTTCACAGATAGGTCATGAACAGGAAAAGGACAGACTGGCCTCTATGATGCCAAGAAAGAGGTCTGATTGGACTTTTTCCCTCTCATTGAATTGTCTTTTTACCAATTAAACTGTCATCCACCATGTCATGTGTCATCTCACTGTCATCCACCATGGCCTTTGTGGTGGATAACAGTGGTACCGTCCTAATGGAAGGGGCAGAAGTTCAATTGAGCCTGAGGAATTAGAAAACAACCTCGGAAACAGCAACAAGTGGCCCAGCAATCCGTGCGAGGAAGCACACTGCGAACCAGAATTGTCTCTCAGGGCGCAACGTGAGGATGGCCTGGCATGGCTGGCAGAAAAGGCTGAGGGTCCTAGTCATGCTGAGATGTTAATGTCATTAGTTCTATTAGTCCAATGTTAGGACTCAGTCAGAGCCATGTGGCATGGTCCTCAAACTCAAACTGCATCAGAACCCATCTACAGGGCTTGTGAGAAGGTTGTAGGGTCTCACACCCTGAGTCCCTGAGTCAGCAGGTCTGGGGTGAGGGGGACACTGCACTTTTAACACGCTCCCAGGAAATGCTGATGCTGCCGGTGGGGGACCACACTCAGAGGCCCGCTGCTACACAGCAAGCAGAAGCCGGGGTAACGGATCCTCCTGCCCTTGGCAGCTCTACACGTCGTGGCTATTGTAGCCCAGTTTGGATTACTAGAGTTGAAGAGGCTGAGAAAAATGGTAGACGATGCAAAGGATCAAGAAAATATCAAAAGGATACAAGATAAAATAAATCAGAAAAAACGATGTAAGTAATTGGGAAAATTTTATTTGAAGAAGAGAACAATATTGTTCAACTGATATTTTCAATACACAAATGTTGACTGTGACGAGCGTGTCTCTGCATCTCCAGCGCTGGGCCGACATCAAGAGAATCAGCGTGTACCGAGGAGGCTGAGGCTAGGAGCGCTAACGCACTGCTCAGCGTGGAGGGGACGTGCCGGACTCCAGCTTCCGAAGATATCTTGACTTCGATGATTTAGATTCCACACAGAAAATTCCACTCCATAAGTTTTCTTCCAACTGTCAGATTCTATAGTGTCCAAGAGTAAATCTGCTCATATTTCAAAAGGATCCCGGAAGGAGTAAGGATACAGTTGGATCAAACCCATTTCCCTCAGGTTTTAGTCCAATAACCAAGATGTCTGTGAAGGACAGGCCATCAACCCTCTTGTGAAAGGGTTATGACACTGTCACCAACCCAAGAGAATCCCACAGATTCAAAGTACACTGTGTGGTGAGAAATGCAGATCCAAGCCTTTCAGAGAATGCCATAAAGATGTTCCTTTTCCTTTTAAAATATTCTACTTTTAACTGTCTGTTCAAATAGCCAACTACCAGGGAAATCCGCGCCCTGGGAAATGTTTTCATTTCTGCTCCAAACTTATTTTCAATTGAAAGTTTGTTCACTGGTGCTTGATGATACTATTTGAATCTTTATGATTAAAAAACTCCTAGATTTCTTCTGTGAATATTTTATACTATGGAGACATTTAAGTTATATATTAAAATCCACTTCAACTATGTACTTCATATTTCTATTGGAGAAAAAATGTCCTCGCCTCCTTGGGCAGAAAGGAAGCACAGTGGACGTAATGACCATTGTAGCTATTAACATAAATAGTATTTTTGACGCTGAAAAATAATAAAAGATTACAGATAAACGTCAACGTCAAGGTGGGATGTTTTTAAATTTCTCTGATGTACCTGGCTAGAAAAAGGTTGCTTTAGGATGATTTCAGTTGAATTTTAGAACATAGAGAACAAAAATTTTTACCTCAATCATCTCAAGATGAATTCGTGCAAGCACACACAGCCCCCCAAACACAAACCACATATGTCATAGAGAAAACAGTCCTTCTTGAAAAAATGAAGGTGGAAACCTTTGTTGCGGGGTGTACTCACGCATGCGTACAGAGACACAATGCATATATATATAGATAAAGTTTCTGAAAGAGTTACCTCAAGATAATGGTCATTAGGATTTTAAAAAGTGAGAACATTAACATGGAAAAATATATTTGTAGATCTTTACTAGATATTGAGAAATTCTAGGAAAAGTTCAAAGTTCATATCCACTGAGCACAGACTAGTTATCTATCAATTTCTGACAAGAATAAACACTTTTAAAATATATATTACATAGATTTATATATCATAATATATTAAATATAATACATATATATGAAGTGTATATATTTTAAAACTGCTTATTCTTGTCAGAAGTTAATATATTATATATATATATATACACACACACACACACAGTTTTTTGTGTTTTTTTATAAGATGCTGAGGGTATGACAGTTGTCCTGGCAACTCGAAGCGTTGTCTACAGACCATCGGCATCAGCACCAGCTGGGAGCTTGTTAGAAATTCAGCAATACTTCAGCCCTATTAAAGCAGAATCTGCATTTCAACAAGATTCTCAGGTGAATTAGATGCCCTTTAAACACCTAAAATTCGAGGATCCTTAGTCAAAATTACCACTCTTTTTTTTCTGCATTGTTTGCTAGAGGACAGGTCTGTCTGCTAATTCAAACCATGTTTTTACCTCCTTGATGTATATAAACTACATTTGGTGATTCCAGAAGTTCTAACCCAATTTTAAGGTTCCAGTCAGATATCAAAACCATGCAAAAATCATTAAAATTTTGAAGTGGGCAAGAAATCAATCTGTTCCTTTATTACCACAGGCATAGAATCAAAGTGGAAACACAACACTCTTCACTATGACACCACGGTAGTCACGTACTTAATATGTATTTTACATCGGAAATGGTTAAGTCAACCTAATGTCATGAAATAAAGTCAATTATTTTATTAATAGATTAAGCATTTCTCTAAAAAAAAGTTTACCAAGTCTCCAAGATACTTTTGTTGGCACTAAATATCTTTATTTCTCATCTTTTCTTTTAAACTCCTTTAAATCATGCTTTAAATTCTGGGAGACTCCAAGACCGTTCCTTCACACCAAGTCAACTGAGGAATTCTCCCCTCCTGAGCAGAGCCCTTCAATTGAGGCTCCCGGGAAGGAGGTGCTCCCCTCCTCCCCCACCCCACTCTGCCTCCAGGAACCAGGAAGGAAGATGGCCCCATTCACCATCAAGAAACAAACCTGGCTGACGCAAAGAAATAAAGTTACAGGGATAAAAGGCAACGAAACCCTGGACAGCCACAACCTGGGTAATTAGCCTCCAGCAAGGATCCTGGCAGGTCACTGAATTGTCCCCCTTACATGGATAACTCTTTCTACTGGAAATAATACAAATTCCTTGGTAGCTAAAAATGTTAAGCACATGGGTAAAAGATGACATGCTACCTCAGGACAGTAGGAAACATGATTGTTCTCCATGATGTATTTAGTCCTGTTGCAAAGTTAATGTTATTGAACATATATGCATATATATGTATACAAGCACACACATACATAAACATATACACATATATCAAGACATGTGCACACTTCTTCTTAACCCCATAGAAGCAAAGAAGCCTTGTAGGAAACCACATAAACATCCAAAAATCTTCACAATTTAAAGTAAACAGTAAGGACATGTTATAGTTGAATTGAAAAATCTTAGTTGAAATCAGATGCTTTAAAAACAGGGGTCAATAGCAACCATTTAACTGGTACTTATAAGACCATTACATCCTGAAGGAAGTGTATCATATGAAGTTTAAAATAATAAATGAAGGAAAGCTCTCTGTGTAATAAGAGTGCCCTCACCCCTTTGCACAAAAATATTGCAACGTGCAGAGCTCTGGGGGTTGGCTCCAAAGGCAGGAAAATGCTTAGTGAGGAAGAGAACACTGAAAACAGACCTCTTTCATGTCCCACCACGTTGACAGTCACGTCACATGTAATTTTAAACAGGAAGCTAATGTCTTACTTGTAGACGTAAAACCGAGTGACAGCAACATGTTATACATCATTTCCCTCAGCCCTCATATCCGGTGAGGCATCAAGGGCAGCCCAGGGCAGGGTCGAGACAGGCGTGGACTCTGGAAAACCTGGGTTCTGATCCGAGTTCTACCCTTGAAGCTCTGTGGCCTCGGATAAATTTCTTAGCTTCTCCTAGCCTTAGTTTTCTTATCTGTAAAAGTGTGTTTGGGTGATTATGGCCCCAGAGCCGGTAAAGCAGCCAGCACAGGGCCTGGCACTCAACATGTTGTGAACACAGTGCATATTATTATCATTATAATTCTTAGCATTAGAGACATGCAAATGGGAACCACCCATTTCTACAAAAGCATCATTTATTGCTTTAAAATCTCACCACGGATCTATTTCCCAGCCCATGTCAGAACCAACTTACCTTAGTCATTTCTCACATGGAGATGATATTAACTTTTAAATGGTTAAAAACAAACAGACTCATCAAATTCAATTACCAACTCCATCATATGTTGAAGAATTTTTTAAAGGCATCGACTTGATGGAATTGATCATACAGTGATACGTATTGAAAATGCTTTCTCCCTTCTGAAACATTTCAGTCCCTCCACTGCTTCTGTAAGCAACCTGAGGGAGGAGGCACAGATCCAAGTACAGGATTTATCCACACTTGTGCTACATAAGAAGGGGCTTTGGAGAGATGGCATCAGCATGCGGGCTGCCAGAATGGTCCTGAGACCACCATGGGCATAACATTTGGGACAAACCAATGAGGTTAATTTATTACAAATGATTCCCCAAGGACTCTGAAATACTGGCCTTGCACCATCTGAATGGGCTAAGCCGATGTGCTGTACAGAAATTCTTCCACTGGCTCTAGAGACACAGCGATAAATCCATCACAAATGTCGGGAGGGTATCTGTGCCCAAAATATCTGTCTGTGCTAACAGAAGTGATGCCCAGACGCAAGGATTTTACGATATGTTTAAAATTATCTCTTCTGTGCCATTTCCTGACTAAATCCTTGCTCTCTGAAAACAGGCAATGCAGTTTTTATTGCATTTAAGTTGTTTTTTGGTGAAAAGAAGGAAGAAGAGTTCAAACTTATCTTCCCATGAGCAGCCACATGGTCATTCTGCTTGTGAATTTACACGATATAGCTGACAGATATCACAGTCAGGTATGTATGTTATGCACTCACAAACAAACCTAACCGATAAATAGACCACCTGTTTCAAATGCATTTCACACCACAGACAATAGGAACCAGAAATACTTGGTCTACAACATTTAATTCTATTTGTCTCAATCAAGAATAACTAATAATACATTCTTAGATATAGAGAGAAAGGAAAGGTGATGTTTTTCATATTTTGTGATAGCTTTACATTGAATTATTTTCAAAATAGACTAAAATAAATTTAATCTACTTTCAATACATGTTATTAATTTTTTTCTTTTGTTTCCTGAAAACAATCAGACTGTAGCTTAAGAAACTATAATGGTGAATCTAACCAATCCTACTTCATATGTAAATTAAAGCAAACTTCCTAACTCATTTTAGAAGGATATATTGAAAACCTATATTGAAAAATGACTCATTTGATTCTGAATTTACATGGCAACATTTGAAACTAGTGGTCTAGCTGACACAGGCAACCATGCAGAAAGGGTTACAACATTCATTGAAACACCAAAGCAATTCCTGTGAAAAGTAATTGCCAAAAGTAAAGAAAGAATGAATAAGAATGGGGTCCTGGTTTCAGTGTGGGTAACTTATTACTGAGTTCACGTTAATAAAATCAGGTCTCTTCCAAACATAATCATGTAAACTATTTTAATTGGCTTGAAAGAGACTGTATTCTGTTAGATACATGCAGCACTGAAAATCTACCCTGATGTTAAAAAAAAAAAGTCCGGAAAAAGTAACTTCTCCTCCATTTTCCTCAATAACTCAGTTTTATTTTAAAGACCAGGTAAGAACTCTGGGACAGTTTACCTTTTATAATATCGTGGCCACATCATATCTTTTCCTTTCCCACCCACCAGCAGTCCTCTAAAGGAAATATAAAACCACCCCCCCCCCGCACCCCCAAAGAAAACAATATTGAGCAAAGCACTCAACGATCTTTTTAGAAGGGTGAAAACATGGGTAACATGATTTTCACTTCAATCACTTAACTCATCTAAAGGAATGCTTCACGAATGCTAAGTGTTCTGTGGTTAAGAGACACTCCAACATAAAGAAGGGAGGGGAGCATCTCAGCCTCTTGGCCAGGCAGCAGGAGTGCTCGGTCAGTGCAGAACTCAGTGTGCAGGATCCTCCTACATGGAACGCTGCTACACATCGCTGGGTGACCGTGCCCTCTGGGAGAGACTGGGTGGGATACAGCCGCAGCAGATGAGACAGAGGGCTTTCTGGATCTCTTGGTTTCTGAAAGCATATATGACAGGGTTGATGATGGAGTTGTAGGTGGCGGGCAGGAGCGTGGCGTAGGTGTAGATGGAGGGGTAGGTGTAATCAGCGATCAAGGAATAGAGGGTGAAAGGCATCCAGCAAGCAGCAAAGGTCCCCAGGATGATGGCCAGCGTCGAGACGCCCTTCCGGGTGGTGACGTAGTGCGAGGTGGCCAGGAAGTGGTGCTGCAGGGCTATCTGATGGGCGTGCCTCATCACAATCTTACAGATCTGGATGTAGAGCTGAAGCATGAGCGCAAACATGAAGAGGAAGCAGACAGAAAGGATGGCTGCGTTGTTCTTGGTGAGAGGTCTGACCACGCTGCAGGTGGACTCGTCCCTGAGGCAGTTCCAGCCCATGACGGGCAGCAGTCCCAGGCAGATGGAGGTCCCCCAGAGCATGATGAGCATGACATAGGTAAACGTGACCGTTCTCTCCGAATGGTATGTCAGAGCGTAATACAGGGAGAGGTAGCGGTCAACAGTGATAGCCAGCAAGCTGCAGACAGAGGCAGAGAAAGAGGCGACAATGAGTCCGATTGTGACCAGCTTGGTGGCTTCTGACTGAAGCAGGTAGGCAAAAACAAAATTGATGATGAGGCCAATGCCGGCCAGCAGGTCTGCAAGAGCCAGGCTGCCTATCAGCAGGAACATGGGCGCTCGCAGGCTGGGGTTATGGAAGATGATAAGGACCACCACGGCATTCTCACAGGAGATGAGGGTTCCCGAGGTACACAACACAATGTCCCAGGGGTTGACAACCAGCTCTGGCTCTGGCTTTACGACAGGAACCTGGGAGGAGACGGCCGCCGACGCGTTCTCCGCAGCACCGGCATCTAAATAATCCCGAGGCAGCCCGCTTAAATTGACCTTCAGGTCTTCATTCATTTTAACCCCTGTCCTCTTCAACGAAAAGACAGGCTTTTTAATGTTTAGATACAGCAGGTGACAATCCCAGATCATGCAAAAAACACACAAACAGAAAGCCAGCCCCTATTCAGATACTACTATCAAACGCCACAAGCTTCGTGAATTATAAACTGTTACGAAATTAAACAAAAGCCAAAGTCTCCGTGACTTAAAACCCACAACAAAAAACGCCGTTCGGCACTGGGGAAAACACAGGAGCAGACTTCAAAGCACGAGCGTGAGTGAAGCAAGCACACACGGAATCGCGGCGGTCTGTTTGCTAAAGTGCTGGGAACACACATGTGAAAATCACGACTTGCATGCTGAAAACGAACAACTGGTTGACATCTGAGCTGCTGCCGAGGAGACCACGCCGCAGGGACAAGTCGCGAGCCGGGGGCCGCCATCCTCGATGGAATATTTAAATCGCCTGTTTCCATCGAACTCCCACCCTCCGAAAAAAATCCCTCGCGCGCGTGCACACGCTCATACACACTCCTCAGCCAGAACAAAGAGGGGTCCCAGATTTCCCCAGGGTGCACGGGGCAGTAGGGGCACGGCCACAAAAGGCAGGTGTGTGCGATGGAGGTGTGGAGACAGACAGACAGACAGATGCCCATGCACTGCCGCCACTCCCCTAGCGGCCGGGACGGGCGGCGGACGCGAAGGAGACAGACAGGGAGCCGGGACTGGCGGCCCAAGGGGGCGGGGGTCAACAAAGGGTCACCTTGGCGCGTCCAGGCCGAGGGGCTCCTCTGGTGCTTCCGAAGCGCGCGGGCTATCGGTGTCGCATGTCGGCGCGGCGGCGGGGCCCGTGGCGGCGAGGGGCGGCGGCCGCGCCCGGGAGTCGGCGGGCGGGCGCGGGGCGCGCGCTCCACGCCAGGTGAGCGGCTGGCGGCAGGTGAGCGGCGGGCTGGGCTCGTGCGCCCGGCTCTCCCCGCCGCGCGCCCGCCCGGCCCCCAAGCTCCCCGCATGCGCGCACCCCCGCCCCGCGCCCGCCCCGCGCTCGCCCCCGCCCGCGGGAGCCCCGGGAAGCCAGCGCGTGCCCCACGGGTCGGGGCTGCGCCGGGGCGCGAGGGCAGGCGAGGCGGCCCTGCGCGGTGAGAACCCCGAGCGCTCTCCGGGAGGGAGGGAGAACCTGGAGGCTGAGAACTGCACCGTCACCCTCCCCGCCTGCTGCGCCCCGCATCCCACCCCGCCGGCGGTCCGGGGCTTGCGCCAGGGCAGGGCAGGGGAGCGCTGCCTGGGAGCCCAGTGACCTATTTCGTTCCTGAGGTCTCCCTGGGGAGTCCCAGGCTCCAGCGGCCAGCTTCTGCACGTCTTTCTTTAAACTGCCACATTCACGGTCAAAAGCATTGCTGGGGTGGTATTGAGGATCAGCCGCAGGGGTGCGGGGGGAGCAAGTTCGGGGGGCAGATCTTTAAAGCAGCAAAATGCTCAGCCAGCTATTTTAGAATTGCTGTGGACCACGTTGTATTCCGATCCCAAAGGGGCCCCCTTCCTTAGGTGTGTCCTGCACCTGGATCATTATTACTGTTCCCTGGGAACATCTGCTTAACCGGATATATGGTGCTGCTATGTGAATCATCATTATCATCATCAAATTGCACTTATTAAGTGCTCCTTGAGCTATGTTTTCAAATGGAAATCATTTACTGAGTTCCTGCAGAAGCTTCCCGCAGATGCTGCCCAAAAACCAATTCATTTAGGTACTGTGGAGGCAGTGTCAATTTATTTTTTCATTTTAACACATCACTAGTTTCTAAGATGAAGGACTTGATAGCCAGCTGGCTGCTTTTATGAGCCTATGTCTTCCCTGGATACAAAAGCCAGAGCACCTAGAAGGTGTTAAGTTTAAAGATGATCTCCCAGTTCAAACATGGTAGAAGGAAAAGGCACCATATGCTGCTCTTTCCCTGTCGGCAGTGAAGCTTTTCCCAATAGCTTTTCTCCACACTCGCAGAGGGGCTCCTGTGTGAACAGAGGTGGTCTGCAGGACACAGGACCCTAGAACTCCTTCCTACAGGAGCATCACACTCTGGCGGTCCTGCCTTCCCCTGGTGCTCACTGTCACTCCTTATTCCAGCCCAGTAGGCTCACCCACCCTTGACTTCTTCCCCCTTCTCCGCTCCTTCCATCAGTCGGCTCCTGCCTCTGCAAGACCACTTCAGCTCTCCCTGCACTCCAGTTCTGAACTACAAATCAGTAGTTCTGAGTTGGGGCCCAGATTCTGCATTTGCAACCCTCTCTCCCAGTGACCTTAATACTCCTGGTGCACGGACCACACTTTGAGAAGCAAGGTTCTATGGAGTTTTAAGAATCGCTTGTGCCTGGTAGAGAGGCATCAGACACCTGTACCTGCCAAAGAACCACGCCAAGGGCTGGCACACAAATTCAGTAAGACGTGGTCTTTCTGCTCACAGACATGTATAGCCTAGTGGCGACAGGCACGTAAAAAGCAACCATAATACTAGGCAACAAAGGCTGTAATAAAGGGATGTACATCTTCCTCTCAATTTCTATGATGAATTGAAGCTTTTGAGAATAAAGCGATGAAAAATAGTCATTTAAACATACACATGGCAGTTTCAGCATGACACAGTTCAAATTACCTGCCAAAATTTTATTCACAACAGCAGTGCAGTTTAGGGAGAGTAAATGCACAGCATGAGCCAGACACGGTTCTGGTCAATAGCACTGAGATGGGCCGACCTACAGAGCTGTTAGTAGTGGAATTTATCCCCTCTTTAATGTGTTCAGGAAATAGGAAAAAAGAAAAAATCGAGGGTTGGGGAAGAAAAAAGGCAATGAGGTGGATGGCAGAGATATGCGTGTTTTTGCAGTGAAATGTGGGAATAGTTAGAGGAAGAAACTGAGGGAACTTGCACCTGACGGTTGGATACGGTTAAACAGCAGAACCGAGGAGCCAGGGGCTACAGCAGTGTGGGTGCCCAGCTCCTCCAGATTGCCAGGATCAGCATGTGTTCACAGTTCTGCTCAGTTACTCCTCTCCCTTCAATGATTACTTGCAACAAAAAGAATTTAAGCTTTACTGTACTCCTATTTCTCTGTTTATTGGTGTATTTGTTAGGACTTCTGTTGCCAAGGGGCAGAAATCCAAATCAAGCTAGCTTGATTCAAAATGGATGTTGCTGTCTGGCATGTCTGGGAAAGGTCCCGGCGTAGCTCATGGAGACAAAGGAGAAACTGCAGGAAGAGAATTCTACCTGTGTGCTGAGGCCCCCAGTCAGTCCCTATTCCTGACTTATTTCTTATCTTTGCTGCTCTGTGTGTGCCAGCCTCGAACTGTGCTTTCCTAGACAGGCATCCCCCATGCAGCCGTGGAAGTATTCCCAGGCAGCCCCTAGTTTGCACGCTGAGACCATCTTCCCAGCTGGGGAAAGGAATTCCCACGGAGAACTCTGGCCCAGCCTGTGTGTGCCCTGCTCTGAACCAACCGTGCGGCTAATGGGATGGAATGAATCTGTTGGCTAGGCCCAGATCGTGCATAGAGTCCTGCAATGGAATTTCCATCTAAACTTTGCTGAACAGTCATTTCCCAAGGAGGAAAAGAGAGGTGGGACACCAGGCAGTGGAATAACTGATGTTCTCTGCAGCTTGGAATCCAGCAGGCAGTCAAGAGATTTTGCATGGCCCTTAGTAATGTAGGTCATAAAGTAGCTGTCTGCCATGCTGTCTTCTCAATTTAGTCACCATCCATTACAGGACACTGCAGCAGACGCCTTCAGCATGTGATGTTCATTACCTTTCATCACTTATCATTTTTGTCACCTTTTTTTTAATAACTTTGGCAAGAAATTATAAACCTGCAAGCATGGTCTGGCATGTTCACAGCCTACACTAACAATTGCTGTTTTGTATGAGAAAGGCTCTGCGCCCATCTTAATCATACATTGTGTCTTTGCCAACTTCAACCCTGTCCCCACATTTACTAGCCCTTCCTTGTACTTGAATTTGTAAGTCATGGGGCTGTCCCAGATTGCTGGCTGGAGCAGGTCGTAAACCAAGCCAGTACTATACAGAGCGCATGGTGTCTGTGTGGAAACGTTCCTAGGCAGCTTCTCTCCTGCTTGTGTGAGGATTACTAGTCAGTTTCTATATATTTGATTCACTGGTGCACTAACCTGAACCAGACTGACCGTGCTTTATTCTGCCTAGCCAAGGCGCTATATCACACCTGAGGATAAAACATTTAAAGTTTAACTTTTCTTTCTTTCTTTATCTTACAGTAAATTGTATTGCAGGAGAACCTACATGAAGAAAGTGCATATTCACAAGCGTGCAGCAGGATGAGACACCAAGAGAATCTGCCTGTGTCATCATGAACCCTCTTGAGAAATAGAATAATACTGGTAATAATACTGGTAATAGCAGCACCCCAAAGCCTCCCTCTTGCCCCCCCCCAGTTATCAGCCCCACTGGGAGAAGGACCCCACTTTTCCACACCTGAACACCATTGGTTAGATTTGCCTGCTTGTGAACTTCACATGAATGGAATCAGACAGTGTGTATACATTTTTCTCTGGCTTCTTTCACTCGCCGTTATTTCTGTGAGATTTATTTATTTGTTGCATGGAGCAGTAGTTTATCCTTTTTTGTTGCTGTGTAGTATTTATTGTGAAATATGCCACAGTTTTTTAATCCATTCGCTTGTTGATCAGCGTTGGGTTGTTCTCTGGTTTTGGCTATTGTGAATAAAACCACAATGACGGGTCTCAGACACGTCACGTGACGCACAGATGTAATTATTTTTGTTAGGTGTGTTCCTAAGGGTGGAAGAATTGCTGGATCAAAGCGCACTTTTATATTTAATCTTCGATTTAAACAAAACCTGGCTGCTATTTGAGGATGGTGAGGGGCCTATGAAAAATCATAACACCTCCTCCTTTCCCCCTTTATAAGTCCCTCTAGACTTCCCATTTTAATAGAGGAGGAGCAGAGTTCATGGGAAGATCAAAGAGATACAGACAGGAAGGAAACATCACGTAAAGGCAACATTCAGTCTGAGATTCTGCGAAAGGAGAGCTCTGTCATCGGTATCAGCATTGCCTCATTTCTATATATATTTTTGTGTTTTAAAAATTGTATAATTTTTAAAAATTAAATGTCTTTTTCTGATTGTAAAGTAATACGTAGTCATTATAGAAATTTTGGGGCCTGCAACTAAAATTAAAAAGTAAAATTACCTGTATTCTGACTTCCAGAAAGAGCCACTGTGAACTTTTTTAATAGGCATTTTTAATGGATTTATTTGGGATTTTTTTTTTTTGGCAGAATAACTTGAGGAATTATTTCTAGAAATATTTTCTTCTCATTGGTGCATGGAGCAATTATTTTAGTTTTCTTTGGATTCTGAGCTGCTGGTTAGTCTGTCCCAGTGCTTTAGGATGCCGGCGGCCGGGCAGGGGCGGTTCTGCTCACCCTGAGATGTCATGTGCCCCTTGCTCTTCTCCCTCCGTCTCCTGTACCAGCCTTTCCTCAAGCTCCTCCTCCTGCCTCTTGGTCCTTGTGGTCAGCTGAATAGTGGCCCCTAAAGCTACCTGGTCCTCATCCCCGGACCCTGTGAATATTACCTTACGTTGCAAAATGGACTTTGCAGAAGTGATTAAGTTCAGAATCTCCAGATGGGGGCATTATTCTGGATTGTCCAAGTGAGCCCCAAATATAATCCCAAAGGTCATTTTAGCAGGGCGGCAGGAGGACTGGAGTCAGTCATAGGAGATGTGAGGACAGAAGCAGAAGGAGAAAGATTTGAAGATGCTGCGGTGCTGGCCTTGAAGACAGAGGAGGGGGACCTGGAGCCAAAGGAGGTGGGCAG